AAAACATGGTGATAATCTCATGACTTCAAAACAGATCTTTATTGCATTTCGTTCAAATGAAACATTTTTGGTAATCGTCTTAATTATGAGCAATCAGTATTGACGATCATCTCCCAAAAGGTGTGAATTAAGATATTGTGAAAGAATACTAGTTGCACAGTTTTATATGGGCAACATTAGTGTGCATGATGCTTACTGAATAAGTGTGGGGCCACTTGTTTTCCATTTCCGTATGTGATATATTTCCATTCTTGTCTTCTCAGCATATATGCAGACATATTGACGTTACAGCCGTGATATTGACTCAGAACCCAGTCAGGTTTTTTCACATGGCTCTTTCCCTCTAAATAAGGCATCAATGAGGTACCATTCAGACCAACTGGATGATGTATTGCTGCCATATCTGCAAATGAATGCAAAATTCAAATAGCAGGACGCTTTTTCAAACTTCTGAGATGAACTTATACAAAAAAAGCTGGGCCTTTATGTGGTTGAGTGCACGCAGCTAACACACTTTTGACACAGAAATTTCCTGACATTTTACAAAGTTATTTTTTGTAACTTAGTACATTTGTATTTGAAAGTAAAAATTTTGTTTTCTAATAGATTTTCAAATTATGAACCTGTAGATTTCACTATTTTTTTTTCATAATGGTTACTATTTTGAGCCTTTGAGCCTTTTCCATGGAAACTAAATTGGTGATCCATTTCAGTTTTGCGCATTCTTTTAACCTGATATAGACCAAATCAAATTATCAAATCAATCTATTATTGAATTTGATTGCCCTACTGAATAAGATGAACAGAATGATCGCTGCTGTGAACATATCTGAAAAGATGAACATTACAACTTACCGGGGTAATTTAACTCGGTTCAGTTAGGGGTCTGAAAATAGTCTGTACATACCCATCAATGTCGGGAAGATATCCACCAAACTGACGGGGTCATTGACGGCAACACCTTGTCTACTCGGCACTGTCGGGTTTGTTATGATTAGTGGTACATGTGAACTAGCTTCATACATTGTCATTTTATAAAACTGTCTATGTTCCATTGCCATCTCACCATGATCAGATGTGAATATAACCTGCGTTGTGTTCGTTAATCCAAGAGAATCCAACTGATCTAAAATCTCTCCTGAGAAGAAAACAGCAGCATTATGTTTATAGCCTACTCCTAAATGAAAAAACACAGAATTTATTCATTTTCCAATAAATTGTACTCCAGGGCAATATTGGGATATTGACTTTCAAAAGTTGGGGGTCACCAGCCTAATTTTCAAGAAACTGATGTTTGCATTTTAGTGGAAAGTGCATGGCCATTTTGTCAGTATTATAAATTTTTTACTATGACGAAGATATGACGTCATATCTTAAGTTGTAGGCCAATGAAATAGGCTGGAAACTAATACATTGTGAGCTTTTTGTTATCTTGAATTATGAATTATTTAAAAAATCTGGGTTTTAAAAAGTGTCTAAGATTCAGGGTTTTTTTCTAATTAAGTTTCTCAAAATACATCACTATAACACATGCTTTTTCATGATGCCATGGAACAATACCTTCATAATTGTACACAATAAACAAACATTGTCACATGATTTATGAGCAATTTTCTCAAAAATTATGAACAAGCTTGGAACTATGTAAGTAAGTAAGTAAGTAATTTAATAACTTTTTTGATTTTGTATCCGTATTGGGATCTTGAAATAACACAATAATGAATGTTGTTTAAATAAACACAGCTAGCTAAAAAAGTAACAAACTAAAGTAAACAATCAGAAAATTAGATCAATAAGTAAAACAGAATAAAAAAAATACAAGAAATGTAAAATTGAGTGATTATTTTGGAGCAGCTGGTGGTTTTTTCAGTGCAATATCTCTGCGGTTAAAGCAGTTAAAAATGAATTTTGCATAGTCAATGATTTCTTTGTTGTCGGTAGAGGTGAGAACTTTTATCATGATTTCTTCCTCAGCTACACCAGCTGAGGATAAGTTATGTTCAGTGAACAGTTTAATCCTCTCCTCTTGGTGCAGTTTGCATTTTAGCATGTATGTGTGTATTCTATTGTTCTATTATTGTTTGCTTTTCTCAGATTACATTTTGTAGTCTTGTACACTTGGCAGTTTAACATAATGACAAATAATTCCCGTTTAAGAGCAACAATTTGATATCTAACAGTACCAGAATATGCAACTTTTAGAGCTTAACCATAAGACAATATACCCACCAACCATGCCATCCACTTCTGCACACATCCCATAATAGTATGCTCTAATCTTTCTAATTTCATCTTTGGTGAAATGTGATGTACAATTCTTTGTCGCTGATTCATAGTAATCCACAGGATGCATTTTATCCAATGGCGTCCATTTTGGTATGGTAACCTTTGACATGTCAACGTACTGCAACCAATATGGCGATGTCATGAAAGTGGATCCTCCAGGATGCTCGCCTTCACCTGGTGTGGAGTACGGATGAGGCAAATTTATTCCGATGTACAGCAAAAATGGTTTTGTTGCTTTGGATGACTTTCTATTTTCCAACCAATCTTTTGCCTTGTCAATATTGTCCCAGTCAACGTCTTTCACTCGTATTGTTGTTTTATTGCCAACGAGCACTGGTGTAGGTCGGCCTTCCTGAGCCAGAGTAAAGTTGACATTTCTAGTCCAGGCTTCAACTCGGTTACTGAAATAAACATAAAATAACAAATTTGTGTTTTTTTGTTTACTAGTTTTTATAGTGTGAAATAGGAATCCTATAAGTACATTTATGAACAATTATAAATTGTTGTGAAGCCAGATTTTCAAAATAGTAACATCAGTGTTACAGGAATCCCTAGAAACATGCATGTAACACATATATGCACAGAAAGTTAATATCAATGACCGTATCAAAATAATGCCCTGAATGTAAATCTAAACATTATCTGTATTTTGTACATTAACCCTCTGAACACGATACTTTTCCCGCTTAAATTTTGGAGTTAAATTTTGCACCAGATACTGGCTACTGGTTTTGATAACAAACTTTGAAAAATTGCGAAAATAATCATGATTTTGTGAAGGTGAAATTTGAAACACCACAGTCATGTTGAATTGTGTTTGATATATGGTGTAGCATACTGTAAAATTAAATTTTGCATGTAAAATTGCAAAATATGTAGCAACTCTGGGGTTAAAACATGGATTGTCATTGATTTTTAAGAAATGATTTTCTTCGCGAATGCAATAAAATCTTCAAAAATTCCTATCAGTGGTTTACATATACCGGTATATTTACATGTAAGGCCAACTGTGGATGCTTTTGTCAAGGGCCCATAATTTCTAATGTATGTACCAAGCTGTGAACAAAATCCATCCATAAATAAAATCAAGATCCGGTTTCTGGAATGCCGGAAATGCTTGATTTTTGATCATTTTTATATACCAAAATGGCCACCATTCAGCCATCTTGAATAAGATCGTGAAACAAATTGATGTATATATGAATAATATTATGTATGATGTGTGTTTGAATGTAATCAGTCTAGACATGTCTATGATACAGGACATATACGCACAGACGCACAGAGGTCAATCCATAAGTCCCCTTTCCGAACTGTGTCCGAATGCGGACTAAAAATGTTGAGAACAAACCTGAGAGTATGTCGACCAGATACATAATCAGTCTTTCCCAAAATTTTGGAATCGTATCCTGCTTTCTCCAACTTTATTTTCCATGTAGGATAGTCAGCAGGTAATCCTTCATGGTTATTCCACGCATGTGTTATGTGAGTGTACAATCCACTCCATAATGCTGTACAAAATAAACTCAAAAAACTGTTGTCATCGTTACACAATATGGTGAGATCCACACAACAAGTATGTTTACATAGCAATCATGCAATTGCAGGGATTGTTAAATACTGGACAATATCCATAGGTGAGCTAAATGCCATACATTGCAAGGGACCCTCAAACAAACATTTTTTTCATTTTCTCTAATTTCATCTTGGTGGGACAAAAAATGTGTGTGAATACTGGATGTGCAATGCCCTCAAGGGCTTTGATGCTAATTCTTTTGTTGTTTTTTTACGAACAAAACTGATTTAGTTGGAATCAAAAATTGATTTTCCAATGAAAAACAATCTGATATGTATGTGAGAATAATATAGATTTATGTCAGAGAAATGAAGCTTATTTCGCCTAATTCACTGATGAAGTACTATCATAGGAATGCTTTCAATATGAATATAGCAAACATACATACTCACCTGATCTAGATGGGCAGCATATTGGTGAGTTTGTGTAGGCATTGGTAAACGTAACACCATGACTGACCAGGCGATTGTTAATGTTTGCCATATTTACAGCAGTCAAGTTATTTCCAACAAGCCGACCATCCTGAAACATACGCACAAATATCTACTAATTAATTAGATATTTATTATGAATTAAAAGTGTAATTTTAGAGACAAATTGAATACATCAACCGGAGCAAAAATATAAATAAGTGAACATCATGGCTGCAAATAAAAGTAAAGTGTTACTGTGGAATACTTTATTTTCGCTTGGAATTTATTTTCGCTATTTTCGCTGAAGGGATGATTCCGTGAAAATAAAATCCAGTGATTATACTTTTTTCCCTATATTTCACATAAAACTCAATGAAAATAAATTCCATACAAAATGCCCAAAACGCCTTTTCAGCGAAAATGAATTCCAGTGAAAATAAAGTATTCCACAGTATATCACGGTTACTAGAAGAACATGGTTACATCCTTCATACGACTTTTGTTGGTCATATTTATTTCACTACGAATCTTGCCACTATTGTCTCCCCTGATTTTATTGAATTCAATGGCTGTTTTGTTTACCTACAAAGTCCCATGGTACATTATATTCCTTGTTATAATCATGAACCTTGTGCTATAATATTGTTCACCAAAGATTTATACGCCTTCACATTATTACAGCGGACACCAGAATAAACTGATCATGAAAATCAGTTTTCATTGGAATATTCCAATATCCAATTTGAAGATTCTTAGCTGTGATTTGACTTTGGCACTTTCAATCCTGAAAGTCGGCTCCCCTGGGCACAACCATTGTCACCAGCGGTGATGGGTAGTAACAATCATACATTGTTTTTTTTTTGAATTTCTTATTTTTATCCTTGTGTTATGTTGAGAATGAAAATTCAAATTATGGTTTTTAAATATGGCTGAATATCATTTGACTCATTACAGATGGTGCCCGTGGATGGTTGATTTTGTTTTCAATCAGATTTTATATATTTAACTCATCATTTCACTCATCACATAAATTAATATAATACAAAAAAATAATATGTCACTGTCAGTTTGAATTGACTAAGAGAATGTTGTTATTGTGTCTGCGATTTTAATAGAGCAACACATTTTTCGTTAGTTGGATTGACTCTGAAACAAAGAGGAATTTAATAAACTGCTCATATAGTGGAAAATAGAATAAAATGACATTCGTCCTCAACAACTGACCTACAATACTCTAATAATGACAAATTCTCAGATTTTGAGCAAAAGAACTGTGTGAATTATTACTAAATTGGAAAATATTTGCATCACAGGAAAATTCTACACTTGATCATTCTATAATCACAAGTGTACAATTCAAATTCAAGCACCCCCATCAAATATAGTCTGTAATTTTGATATGTAAGTTTCCAACAGTTAAATGCAAAGTCATAAAACAAACACTGCTAAGAAAATTTCAAGGGATATTGCATGATATTTTCATGATCAGTTTATTTTTACACCCACTGTAATAATCTTATAGTTAATAACTTATATACAAGTGACAAGCTGGAAGGCTGATTGACGACAGGCTCCACACACAAAAATTATTTTCAAAGTGTTGCCATGGTAATTATAGGACGGAAAAGTTTGTTTCCACCTAACTAGAGTGCAGGTGTGAACCAGCTAGCCTATCAAGTTTGAACAGACACACAAACAGGATACTTCTATTATTGAAGTGTAAATAAAGATATAAGCTAGCACTGAATAGGAGTCTGGTGTATATCAATCCAGGAAAAGCACTGGTGTAAACTCAAAAACACACTCATGCAAATTAGAATTAGATATGTCCGAGATTTTGACTCAAAGATTTGTATATAGTTTAGAAAAGCGCAAAGCTGTGACCAACAAATGTTAAGCCTATTTTTTTTCCAATTTTTGACCACCTTTTGAGAGTGCAGGCGTGACTTGCCTGTCAAATTTGACCAATATTGGCCCAACCCCTCAAAAAATAACAGAAAAGTTAAAAAGCTATTCCTAGCTAAAAGTTACCCCAACTTAAAGGTCAAACAAACAATTTTTGTCCACACTCTACGAGTTGAATAAGATATGTCCAATGTATTTACAAGATTTGTAAGATGAGATACATTTGGAGCGAAGGTATTCGCAAGTCAGTTTATGGCTGTTACCATGCCAACGGGAGATCAGGAATTTTTTTAAGATTTTATTACCCAACTAGAATGAAGGTGTGACTTGCATGCCAAGTTTGAAAAAAAATCACAAAAAGTTGGTACGTGGAGACGACGATTACACACACACACAACTGTGACACACAGAAGGCAATCCTAGCGGAGCTCTTACCATGGCGTCACATATGATGAAGAGTACATTGTTTGGTTTTCCTTCATTTCCGCGTGGTATACAAGTACATGTAAACAATAACACTGTTATTAGTATACTGGATTGCATCATTGAGAACATAGTCGGACCGGAACAGGAAGTCAGTCGAAGACAACAGATTTTTTTTCGTTAGCGTGGGGGAAAGTTGGTTAGCGCACAGTCACTCTACTCGGAGTGACTGTGGTTAGCGTGTGTGTGGGGGGGGAAACAGAGGTGTTAATCCGAAAATTTGTTGTTTTTTCCTGTTTGTAATTGGTGCTGGCAGCGTTTGGTGATCGTGGTGTAGCTCCGTCTGTGAGAATTCTGTTCCGCAGTTTATAATACATTACAAGTTCGGAAGTTACCGCCCCAGGGAAACCCATGAAACGACCTTTCATCTCTGACCCTTGACCCGAGGCCGCTCGACAATAAGTACAACCCTGAATGAAGTACACCAAAGTGTCTGTTATCAAATGTAATGGAAAGAGTCTTCTCTAAAACCCTAGTAATTGGAATAAGTGGGTAAGTACATGCTATCATAAGATTGGGCTATATTACAATCATCGGTCGCTAGTGTAGTGCGCCGGAGCACAGTCAACTGGCGTACACTCATTGCACTTGGTAATAAAATAAATGTATGAGCTGTTAGTTAGGGACTTCATGATCATCATGATGGAAGGGAGAAGGACTTGAGTTACAAAAATGAACACGCCCAAATTCTAAAAATCACGCCAACTTTAGTAAAACCACGCCCGATTTAAGTATTACCGGTATAACTGTTCGAGTTACGGGCAACCTATATTTTGTTTTTTGCTGAACGTCGACACTTATATTTAGTAACTCAAACATTGCACCAGTGCATCATGGGAAATACAATTTGCATGACCCGTCCAGTTGTTTACTTTATGCCTGAAAACAGCCTCATAAATGAAGCATACAGATTGGCAATCCATATGGATAACTCAGACAGCCAAAATTGGGTCAATTGTATTAAAACAATTCTCAAAGAAAGAATGAAACATGAGTCGGAAAATGGATTAATGAAAACAAATACCTACGGTAATAAATATTATTACTACAGCACTTGAAACAAACTTCAGAATAAACAGTAGGGATTCTCTAAACAATGAAAATAAAGGTATTACAGCAAGTGCAAGATATTTACATACACCTAACTCCTGCACCCGGTAGGTAATTACCGAGGGACTTTGCAGTATACCCAGACACTTTCCTAAACGCTCCAACGACCGTTGGAGACGCAATAAAGTTACATACAAGCCTACTGGCAATTAATCAAAACAAAGGACCAGGGTTTCATATGGGTTCAACTATTACAACGTGTAAGTGTCCAGTCAAACATTCATCAAACAATCATGTTTTACTCATTTTTGATATCGGACACTTTATTATTTCATGCATACATATGCTGGTTCATTTAATAAATTCTATTTAGAATGTTTTGTGAAAATAATAAACCTAGTTGATACAAATATTTAAAAAAAAAACTAACATATAATGAAATTTTCTAAATTATCCTCGTGAGAACAATTTAGTTTTGAATGCAGTTTCTGATTTTGAACAATTATTGCTATTATGTCATGGCATTTAGACGAAGATGCTGAGTTAGAGATTGTCTCTTGCAAATGATCGACGATGGAGTAAGTTGGACTAACGAGGGCAACGGTTCAAGGGATTATGTGGCATTTCTGTCGCATTGGTTGGATACGGCCCAGAGTGGAGTAGCGCCCAGGGGTGAGTAATGGCCTTCGTCAACTGAATGTTACACAAGAAATCGTTGAGTTTATCGAATTTTGTCTGAGACCTAAAGGATATTTGAAACTGGTATATAGTGACGGTGTGGAGGTGAAACTAAGTAGAAGATACCAGGGAAAGATTGACTTGGCAATAAGTGTTCTGGCAAACTGGCAATGAGACCAGCCATTATGCAAGAAATTGAACGGGACACTCACAACGCTAATATTATTAACATAAATCCATTGACAACATCTTAACAAACGACCAATTAAACGAATTTAGATTTATCATTTCTTATTAATATTTATTCCCAGTTTAATGTTCAGATTATAATTCACCCAAATGTTACACAGCAATGATTTTTGTATCTACAAAGCAATGGAATAGTCCAACTGTCCCTGGTTCCTCGTGGTCACACTTCAAAGGCATACAGCGTCCAGTGTTTTGATTAACTGTCACGTGAGCATGTATGTAACTTTATTGCGCTTACAACGGTCATTGGAATGTCTAGGGAAGTGCCTAGGGATGTTGCAAAATCCCTCGGTAATTAATCTTGCACCCGCTGTAACCACAGAAATAAACTACGTACTTAAAAACTGAATTTGGACTTGAAAATTATCTGCTGACAGTAAATAACCCACTACACAGATCATCAATGACCAAACTAAGATTAAGCGCACATGTTTTACAAATTGAAATGGGCAGATACCATAAAATTAACATTCCTGAAAGAAGCGATACTAATGATATTGAAGATGAAGAGCACTTTCTGTTAAAATGTCAGTTATACAAACGTGAAAGACGGATCCTTCTAAACACAATTAGACAGTGTTCTGAGGGCAACACTGATACAAGCTTTATCAACATACTAGGCACAAAGAATACTGTCATGCTAAAATGTCTAGCAAAATACATATATGAATTTGAATGCTTCAACCTAAGAGAAAGCAAATTCAAAAAACAGCTGCCTCACAGCTATCTAAATAAGTAATCCTTACATTCACTTTATAATTTGCATTTTTAACCCAAGTTTGTTGTTTTAGTTTTGTTTAGTTATTTTTCTACTAGTGTATCTTTTATTTTTTATTCTGATTGTTTGTAACATGGAATGACAACCATGCTTTATTGTACTTAGATCTATGTCCATTTTTAGAATACAACTTCAATAAAGACTATTATTATAATTACTTGGTACGCAACTGTTATCGTTTCAGCCGAAGGTATTAATTCCATGTGCTAACATCAAACTATTGGTATTAGAATTTACCAAGGAAATCCCCACTTTCCAGTCTGAAAACGATATCAAGTTCCATTTCCTTATTAATACTAACCATCCAAAACTAATTAGACTTGTGGCATGTATCTGAAAGTGTGTTTTGAAAAAATACAAACTGCATCAATTTTTACTACCTTGAATTATGTTATTTTAACATTCTGTTTTTTACTTGTTTCCTTTGTTTTTATAATTTTCAGCCAAAAATAAATTTGTAATTACGGTTTAATAAAACTGCATTATTATTATTATTATATAATTTTAAAAAGTGCTTTTCTATAACACGTCAATACATATATTTTTTACAGCGATTTATTTATTTATTTGTAGTGTAAGCAATGGCGGCAAGACTACACTAGCAACTCGACTAGCAAAGCAGATACCAAATGCATATCATTTAAATCAGGATACATTTTTTAAGGTAAACACAATTTAATTAGATGAGCAACAATCCACAGATATTTATGTGCATAGAATGATGTAAAAAAAAAAAAACATGTGTGGGTTTTTGATCTTGCCTAGTTACTGATTCTCAGATTTTTCAACCCATGTTACTGAAGCCATGCTTGGCTAAATAAACGTCAATTTTTGCTTAATGTACTTCAATGCAATATCTACTAGTCATATACAATTCCAGATACTGGTTTATTGGTCAAATATATGTTGTGATAAACCTGAACGGGATCGTTAGTAAAAAAATAAATCTAACATGTGAAGATATCTATGACATTCGCAACTGTGAATACGTCCAACATGACTATAATATAAAAACATTATTTTTTTAGCTTGAAAAAGATATATTGATAGACAAGAAGACGGGACATCAAAGATATGATGGTATTTATACATGTGTGCTGCCATGACACATTTATTTGATTCACGATACACTTAATGATAGATATAGTGTAATAGTGTTCTCACTTATTTTTGGAATATTTTTTCCAACTGGGAGTAAATGTTTCTCGTTGAAATTTGGCAATCTCTAATTTCATTTATTTTGTATTCAAATAAAACTGATTCAAGTTGTTGTTAAAGATGAAATCACAACATTTATCGAGTCAATGTCAAGCTACTTACAACTAGTGTGTCTGATTGGCTAACCAACCCTAACACCTAACAGTCAGACCAATCAGAGAGCAGCTTATTTGTTGACAGGTATAAGGCAAATATGAAGATATGATACTCGAAAAAAGTAAATTTTTCTGACTACATTTTGTATTTATCCCATCTGCATTTCAATGGATAATGACATGAAATTGTGCACAATATTTTCAAGAAATAGTGAAATTATCTGTGCTTTACACTTAACCAATTATTACCATAACACTACATCTTTGATGTGTTTTTCTCTCCAAGATCTATCAGCATTTCACTTGGATGAAATGACGAATGCAATAAAACAGTGGCTTGATAATCCATCAAAGTTTGTAAAGAAAGAAAACCCATCATTGCCTTATGTTCTTATTTTTGAAGGTATACTTATATTTAATTATAGGTGAGTACTCCTGTTCAGATTACCTTGAGATGAATTCATTCATACATATGCTAATTTTTTCGCTGATTTTCAAAGTATAAAATTCCTGTATACTGCCTTCTTCATGAGAGGTATTTCTCAACAGGTACAATACTGTTCAAGCAAACAATATAACATACCCGGCACTGTAGAACACTTTTTAGTTGTTTTGTATGGAATTTATGTCCACTGATTTTTGATAAGTTAAAATATAGAATAAAAGGTATATTCATTGCATTTTATTTTCACTGAATCATTCCTTCAGTGAAAATAAAGTATTTTACAGAATTTTAGTTTTATATTTCATTGTTCATCTTTCGTCGCTGTTTGAGTATAGGAGGTCACACATGTTATGTTTTTGTGCATGCATTCAAGCTTAGTTAGACGGAGATATGGCATAAATATACACTGCCACATATGTGTCCATGGTAATGAAACATCTTATGGCAAATGTTAATTGTTACATCAGATTGCAAGCTATTGTTTATTATTAGTGAGTGATTTGTTTCACACATTCGCACGCTTTTTAGCAAAAATGTAAGCAAATGCTGTTACACTGTGATGGTATATACATTTTTGACTCGCGTGCAAAACACACAATGGGAGTTTTTGCAGTTACCCTGCCTGCATGTGTGTGTGTGTGTCTGTCCGTTTCACTGATATCTCAAGAACCATATGTTGGTTTTTAATGAAACTTGGTGTATAGATGCTCTGGGCTAATGCGAAGATTTGATTAGGTTTTGGTTGAAATCCGTACATATTAATTACCTGATTTGCATGAGAATTAGCTAATTTTTAGCTGTTCCTTAACTGTTCCACTGATATCTAAAGAGCCATTCATTGGATTTTGATGAAACTTGGTACATAGATGCTCTGGACTAAATGCACAGATGTGATTAGTTTTGGGTATCAATGCATATAATTAACCTAATTTGCATAATGATTAGTCAATTTTCGGCTTTTCAACTGATATCTCAGGTACTGATACTAATCATCTCATTTCAATGAAACTTACATAGATACTAGTACATAGGATGATGCACAGACAGATATGTGAAATATTAATTACCTAATTTGCATAATTAATCAATTTTCAGCTTTTGCTATTTCAAGTACTATTACTTCATTACTTTTCAATGAAACTTCGTGCATAGATATTCCGGAACAATGCACAGTCCCGGTCAGTTTTGGGTTAAAATCAGATCTTATTAATTACCTAATTTGCATAATAAATCATAATTTTTGGTTCAAATACTATCACTTCATTACTTTTCAATGTAACTTAGTACATAGATGCTCTAGAACAATCCAGAGACCTGATTAATGTTAAGTAAAAATTTAGTTTGCATAAGTACCAGTATTTAATTTTTGGCTTTTACACTGATATCGCACGTACTAATTATCCCATTTCAATGAATCTTGGTACATAGATGTCCTAGGACAATACACAGACCAGATTAGTTTGGGTTAAAATCAGTGCATATTAATTACCTAATTTGCATAATTAGTCAATTTTCAGCTTTTACTCTGATATCACATATACTAATTATACCATATCAATGAAACTTGGTACATTGATGTTCCAGAACAATGCACAGACCCGCTCAGTTTTGGATTACAATCAGATCATATTAATTACCTATTTTGCATAATAAATCATAATTTTTGGTTCTAATCACATTTCAATGAAACTTCGTATACAGATGGTCTGTGACAGTACTTATATTAATTCAATGAATCTTGGTACATATGTACTGTAACACAATTTGATGAACAAATTAGTTATAGGTTTATATACATTTATAATAATTACCTAATTTGCATAATAATGTACTTTTCAGCTTTCCACTAATTTAGTTAGGATCAATCATCACATTATAATGAAACTTTGTACATGTGCACCCTGAAAAATATACAGACCTAAATCTATGCATAATAATTGCTTAATTTGTATAATAATTCATTTGGTTCATTGAGGTAATCCACAGACGCGATTAGTTTAATGTTGATAAACATACATATTGATTATCTATTATTAGCTCATTTCTGATATCTAAAAAAATCAGATTTAAATTGTATTCATTGTAGAGGTGCTCTGAAACTAATTAGACTAAAAACCATGGATGAAAAATCAAATGTATTTTCTGTATGTAAATAAATTTTGATGCTGTGAATCACATTTTTTTCATGTTATGCATCTCAAATAGCAGACAAAAATTAGTTGCCAAGCTTCTTGTTTGAAAAGCAAATCTTAAATTTTGAATTAATTTTAATGTGTCTCCAATACTCTCTCAGCACACGGGAGTTCTTTCTAAGCTTTCTTTGATCTACTTTATTTTCTTATTGCAGACCACTCCTTACATTGTTATCATTTGATTTAAAGTACTTTTTGACGTTGCCGTTTGAAGAAGCAAAACGAAGAAGGTCGTAAGTGTAGTTTTATAGACAACAGCAAAAAATCAAGAATCACATTGTACAAGTCCAATAATTCTATTTTACCTGCACTTTAAAACCCAGTGCACAGTGAAATTAACGTTTTTACAATATTTCTCTTTCTACCAGTATGAGAATATATGAACCAAAGGATCCTGATGGGATGTTTGACAACTATGTCTGGCCAATGTATCTGAAAAATAAACTAGAAATAGAAGAGGATATAAAATTACAAGAATTAGGTAAAAACATAAATTCAGCAAACTTCTTAATGCTATTATTATATATTTTTTTATTGCCAGTTCAAGGATATTTATTTATTCTTTCTGAATAAAATATATTGTAATTACAATAGTATTCGAGAGAGCTGAGGCTGTTCATGTTTAATACAGGGTCTTTGGATTTTTTGAAGTCTGGAAAGTCTTTGAGTCGTCTTTAAATTATCTTTGAAAAGTTTTTTCATAGTTAATAATTCATTTTAGAAAGGCTTGTTCTCTCCAGGGAACTACCATATCCTCAGAACTTTGATGAGCTTAGGTGATGTTGGCTTTAAGGGTCAAAATGTCTTTGGGGGTGCAAAAATGTTTGGGGAAAGGTCTGGAAAAGTCTTGAAAATCATTTGGCTCTTGGTGCTATGGACCCTGTAATATAGTTCCTATAGCAGTGTATACAACATAGGCAAAATAAACTTTATGACAGCAAGGATTTGAGGTATTCTTCGCAGATGCTTGTAGTTTTGCATCTCGTGAGAATCATGTAGTTTCTTCTGTGATTTCCCCAATTCTCATTACTTACTTATGGTGTTATGTAATGAAGGTCCTGTGTGAGTTCTATGCATACATAAGCCCTATAAGAGTCATGTGACTTGTTGTTTGACCAATAGCATGACAAAACACTTGTTGGTAACCATGGAATCATTCAATTGTGGATTTTTAGTTAATCTCCAGATTTGAGCAACATAACTTTTCCAGTTTTTATCTATATTTTTTTGATAATTTTATACAAAATAGACATAATTTCCTATTGGCTATAAGTCTTGATCAACATTTTTGACCAAAAATAGGAAAAAATGATGTCTTTAAAATTGTTAAACGAAGACCAAAGTTGTCGCTCAAAGGGTTAAAGGATGCAAACATTCTTAGAAAAAACATCCTATGTTGATGCCATACAAGTTTTTCACTTATTGCCTTTGTATTTTTGACTCCCATGTGCGAAGCACAAAATGGGAGTCTTTGCAGTTAGTGTGTCTGTATGTGTGTGTGTATGTGTGTATGTGTGTATGTGTGTGTGTGTGTATGTGTG